GCAGCGGCTGCAGGGGCGGTGGAGGCCGCAGCGGCGGCGGAGGCTGCGGAGGCCGCACCTTACAGTCAGGATCTGGTGGAGGAAGAAGGAGCCATCTTCAGAAGCCGGGCCTCAGGGACGCCAAGACTGCTTTTGTGTTGTTTGTTTATTTTGCAGTACTAATGGTTGAACACAAGGCCTTCGCCCTGAGCTACACTCCAGTCCTTTTCTTATTTTCTTTATTTTGAGACAGGATCTTGCCAAGTCACTAAATTGCCCAAGCTGGGATTCAACTCCCGATCCGTGGGCCTCAGGCTTCCAGAGTGCCGGGATCGCAGGTGTGCACCGCCACCCCGCTCTAGGGCTGTTTTACAAAGCCGGAAGCCAGGCCTGTGGGAGGGCCGGCTGGCAATGTTTGTTCAGCTAGTGAGTGGAGGCGCCAGGATTTGAACCAGGGCATTTGTGTCTCCTGCCCTGTGTCCTAGGGTGTGAGCTCTTCCTGGAAGAGGTGTAGGAAGTGGGAGCATCAGGCCACAACCTGTGCTAAACACTTAACAAGCTTCATACAGTTACTCTAGTGAAACGCAGTGAGGTGGGCGTGGGGTGTTTCTCCAGTTTGGCAGCAGATATGGAAACAAGACTCAGAGAGGTTAAGTAACTGAACTGAGGTCACCCAGTAAACACGTATCTAAGGGTGGAATGCTGCTAACGTGGCCTTGCCTTTGATCATAGTGGCTCCAGCGGGGCTGCTCCCATCTACCCCTCAGGGGAGGATGTTGGGGTCCCAGGCCACCCTTTCCTCTCCCCAAGCACAGGGGCCCCGGTTACCACCCTGGGCCAGGGAAGAGGAGTCCAGGGTCCTGGACACCCCGTGTGTGCCCATGAGGGGAGGACGGGAGCCCCGAGGTCTTATGGATCGGGGCAGTTGGGGTCCCCGTGTTCCCAAGTAGAGCGGGGTAGGCCTGGCGTCCACAACCAGCTCTCGCCCTCCCAGGAAGGGGACCTACTGGCTTCCAGTGGGCTCTGGATCTCCCACCCAGCATTTTGTCCCAGAATGTGGCCCCAAAGAGCAGGATGCCATCGCCACTTTGGCCCCGCCTGGACTCCATGGGATGGTGACAGAGAAGTGCTGCACAATAAGACAGGCCCTTGCCTTCCTCCATTTTTTCTTCCCCCCACAGAATGTTTTGTTTTGGAAATGTAAGTCTGTGCTGCTGGGCTCTTGACCAGTGTGTCAAAACGGTTGGTGACTGTTTGAACTGTGTGACCTTTCAGAAATGTTCTCTTAAACTCCGCCCCCTCACAAGAAAGTTCCGTGACTCCGTCCCTGTTTCAGTGAGCATGCTCAAAGGGCATTTGTTTCAGGAATGTTCTGTGGCTCTGCCCCCTGCTTCTGGAATGTTCTGTAACCCCGCCCTTTTGCTTCAGTGAGCATGCTCACCTACCCTGTAGCTCCCTATATAAGGAGGCTCTCAATTCTGAGAGAGTGCTCAGACTCCTCTGGGCCCACCAGGGCTTGCTGGTGTAATAAAGTTTGTTTCCACCTCTTCAACTGAGAGAGCTGTGTTCCAGAGCCACCATGCTGGCTGAGTTGTCAAGCTCAGCCGTGCCTCAGGGCTGTGGCAGTTGGCTGTGGCACTTGGCTGTATCACTGAGCTGCTCTACTCTGTCGTGAGAGAAGTCTTGGCCATCCAGGACCCCAGATGCCCCGCTCACCTGCAGGTGAGGAAACTCCAGGTCTGAGAAGCACATCAGCGATGCCCGGCTCTCACTGGTTCCCTAGGGATCCCCTCAAACATCCCATCCCCCCAGCACACATTTAGCAAGACTGGCATTGATTAGGGCCACCTCAGCGCACCCAGGCAGGGCACCCCCAGACCCAAGTGTCAGTCACAGGAGGAGGGAAGGCCGAACCTGTTGTGGGGCAGCCATCAGTCCTGCTGGGCAAATCCCCTGTGTTACTGAGAGAGAAGAGGGGTGATGCGGGGCCCCACCTGCCCTTGGTCCCTACTGTGCCCCTGGAAGTCGGGGCAGGATTGGGGGAGAGTGGCAAGTACCCGAATTAGGCCCCACCCAGCTCAGCAAGGTGACCCACAGTCCCCTCCTGCTTCCCCTTGGGAAATGTCCCTAGTGTCCACTTCTGCCGGTCTCTCCAGCCCCAGTCCTGAGTGGAGGACCCTCACCCTGGGGATGGTTCCATTTTGGTACTATGGAAGTCCTTTGTCCCAGCAACAGTGTCCAGGCGTTGCTGGGTTCCGGGTTAGTGTGTGTGTGTGTGTGTGTGTGTGTGTGTGTGTGTGCTGGCCGGAAGTAGGCGGGGCCAAGGGAGGGCCCTCACTATGTAGACACCCATTGTGATGTCTTTCCAGGGGCCAGGGGAGTGGGCCTTGTCCCCACTCCCTGCTGGGGGACACCGCTTGCAGGACACTGATGAGAGCTGGGCATGGGAATCCTATGGGAGGTGACCGAGCCTCAGGACTTATCAGTGAGGAGAAAGGGCCAGCCATGAGGACACCATGTCCTCTTAATCAGAAATGTGCATGGGCCCAGCACTTTGGGATGCTGAGGTCGGAGGACTGCAAGTTTGAAGCCAGCCTGGGCAATTTAGCAACTCAGTGAGACCATTAAAAAAAAAAAACAGGCTGGGCATGGTGGCACATGCCTGTAATCCCAGCACTCGGGAGGCTGAGGCAGGAGGATCGCTGTGAGTTCGAGACCAGCCTGGGCTGCATGGTGAGTTCCAGGTCAGTCTAAACTACATAGTGAGACCCCGTCTCAAAAAAAACCAAATAAATAAAAAAATAAAAAAGCTGTAGATGTAGCTCAGTCCCCAGTACCAAAAAAAGAAAGGAAGGAAAAAAAAAACCCAAAAAAACAAAAGACAGAGAAAGAGAAAAGTGTACATGGGTCTGAGCACAGCGTCACACACATACACACACACGTCATGTCCAGGCGTGTGTGTGGCCGTGAACCAGCCTGCCTCCCTCCTCCCGGAGCTCTGGGAAGTGGAACAAGATGCTGGCTCTCACTTAGACCCCACTGCTCCCTCCTCATCTGTACATGGGATAACAGCACACAAGTAGGAAAACCAAGTGACGTCGCCCAGATGTGCTTAGTGAGCCGCGGTCTGCAGTGAGGGTGGCTGGAGTGGGGCAAGGAGAAGCTGCCGTGCTGCGGGTCTCCTGGGCCAAGGGTAGGCAGAGGGCATCCCGGGGCCACAGCCAGTGAGGGTGGCCAGGCTGCGGGTCCCCACGGACACTACCTGGGAGAGTCTCCTGTCCCCGAGGGTGGCCCTGCTGTCAGGCAGGCAGGCAGAAGCCCAAAGCCATGGTAGGCCCTGGGAAACAGCCTTCCTGCCCCATGCCGGGGTGGGCAGGGGGGTCGGGCAACCACAGCTGTGGGGCCTTTGACCTGGCAGTGCCCTACCTAGAAACCCATCCCAAATATGAACAAGCCAACCCAGGAAGTGACGTAGGCACAGTGCTCTCAGTGCAGTAGAAAAGACTGAAAGAACCACAGTGCTGGCAGTACCGACACTGCTACTTGGCAGCTACCAAAAATAAACAGGGGGGACAGGGCAGGACAAGAGGAAATTCCCCATGAGAGAGGACAGGACCAGGGACTTAGTGGTGCTGCTGCCTGCCTCGCAAGCGCAAGGATCTGAGTTCAATCCCCCTTATCCGGGGGAAAAAAAAAAGCAAGAGAGAGAGGACACACACATACACGAACACATAGGTAATATATGTAAACAAAGATGTGTATATGACGTGTGTATGTGTGTCCCTCTTTTTGTTGAAGGAAAGGGGAAGAAGATGTATAACTTCTAAAAAGAAACAAATGACAAAGTGGTTATGTTGTGGGGGACAAGGAACGGAGACCTGGGAATGGAAGCCAGACCTCTCCGTATCTCACAGGGTGTGGCAGTGCACACCTGTACTCCTAGCACTGTGGGACGCTGAAGCAGGAAGACTGCAAGTTCCAGGGCAGCCAAGGGAACTTAGTGACTTAGCAAGACCCTGTCTCAATGTAATAAACTTCCAAAAAGGGCTGGGGATGTGAAGGCCTTCGGTTCAGTCTTCAGGACCACAAAAAAGTAACAAACAAACAAACAAAAAATGAATAAACTTCAGGTGTTTTCTCGTTTGTCTGAGACAGGGTCTTGCTTTGTAGTGCAGGTTGGCCCTGAGCTTACTATGTGAGCTCAAATTTGTGGCAATCCTCCTGTCTCAGCTTCCTGAGTGCTGGGATTACAGGCATGAGTCACCACGCCTGGCTTTTCAAATTTATTTATTTATTAGACAGAGTCTTTTCTTTTTCTTTTCTTTTTTTTTTTTTTTTTTTTTGAGACAGGGTCTCACTATGTAGTTCAGGCTGGCCTCAAACTCAGTATGTAGCCCAGACTGGCCTAACCAACAGCTAGCCTCCTGCCTCAGCCTCCCAAGTGCTAGACAGAGTCTTGGTATGTAGTACAGGCTGGCCTTGAACTTACTATGTAGCTCAGGCTGGCCTCAAAGTCAAGGCGATCCTCCTGTCTCAGCCTTTTGAGACCTCACTTTTTTTCCCTCAATTTTAGTTTGACCTGGATATCTTTACTAATTAGAACAGGAATACATTTAAGAAAAAAAAAAAAGAACAGCAATACTGGAAAACACAAGAACAAACACATGGGTCCACGAAGACTTCTTGAACAGGACCCAGAGTGAAGACATAGAAGAAACACTTGAAAAAGTGGACTTCCTCAAAACTGGGAGCAAACTTCAAAGATATGATGGGTGGAGTAAGTGGGCAAGCCACCAGCTAGAAGAACACACAGCAATAACTGATGAAAGCCAAGCTTCCAAAATATTAGAGAACTAGTCGGGCGTGGTGATGCGCACCTGTACTCCCAGCACTTGGGAGGCTGAGGCAGGTGGGTCTCTGAGAGTTTGAGGCCAGGCTGACCATATAGTGAGATCTTGTCTCAACCCTCCCCCTTCAAAAAAGAAAAAAAAACAACTCTTCAATTTAGTAATTTAAACATTAGAAAAAAATGAGCAAAAGTCCTGAACACTTTGCAAAAGATTAGAAATGGCTAATAACACAGGAGAAGATGCTTGCATCCCCAGCCACCAAGAAAGTGCAGACTAAAGATACGGACACCAGCCGGGAATGGTACGCACGTCTGCAGTCCCAGAACCTGGGAGTCTGAGGCAGGAAGAACACGTATTCGATGTCAGCCTCTGCTACACTGCGAGTTCAAGGCTCACCTGGATCACAGTGCGATCCAGCCTCTAATTAAATAAGTAAAAAAATTAAAAAAATAAATAAAAGAATAAGAATAAAAGTACAGGTGCTTTGAGTTCAGCCAGAGACTTAGGAACCTGGCAGTCTCAGGTGGACCCAACGAGCAGATGGGTGAGGCGCTCCGACCCTTCCAGTTTTGGCCACCAGGGGGAAGCACTAGGCTGCCTTGATCAGGCCTCGCTTCTCGATCTGAGCAAGGCGGTCTCGGAGCAGCCATCCGCCCAGCCCGGGCACCAGGGAGCCCTCCCCGCGCTGCACCCACAGGCCAGCCCGGAAGCAGTGAGCAGGCACGAGGGAGCCCGAAAACCGGCCCGGGTGCCAGCGATCCCAGTCTCCAGGCACCCTGGACACACGGTCCCTAGGCAGGCCTGCAAGCCCGGCTTCCTCCTGCCCTCCTGCTGAGGGTCAGGGCTTCTGGAGGACTGGTTTCATTTCATTTTTAACTTTTGCATCTTTTAAGCTTAAACTTTTAATTTTTAAACATTTATTATTTATTTGGTACCAGGGATCGAACTTGGGACTTGCGTTTGCGAGGCAGGTGGCAGCGCCACTGAGCCAAGTCCCAGGCCCTAAATTTAAACTTTTAAAAGCCTTCCTAGCACAGAGAAGGGGGAAGGAGGTTAAAAGGATGGAATCTACCACGCCCTACTGTGTGAGCCCAGCCAGGTGTCTTCACTTCTCTGAGCCTCAGTTTGCTCCCCTGAAAAACGGACCCCGTGACACCTTCTGGTGAGGCTGCTGTGAGGACCCGGCAGCAAGCCTTACAGGCCACCCAGGACTGGAAGGGCGGATGGGCTTGGAGGGCTGACAGCTGGTCCCTCTCCCACTTCCTCATGGCTTCTATGAGGAAGACTGCAGCTGGGCCGTTGCAGGAGAAAAGGGATCGGGACATTCTTTTCCTGTCTGCAAATCTGCGAAGGGCCCAGCATTGGTGGGGGGTGAGATGTAAGGAAGGAATCTGAGGAATGAATCATGACTGTTGCCCAGTGCGTGTGTGCATGTGTGTGTGTGCGTGTGCGTGTGTGTGGTGCTGAGTTACAGACTGTCCTGTCCCGGAGGGGCTGGGCTTCCCCCGGGCCTCCTGCTCTAGCTCAGCAGTGGGTGACAGGATGGAAAGCCGGGTGCGCCACAGGTGAGAGGACCGAGTCCAGGCGCACAGTGGTGGACCCCATCACCTCCTGCTACCCTGTGCTCCCGCCCTGCCTCCCGCACAACACTCACCGAACACATCCCTGGATGCAACGTGGCTTCTCAAGGGGATCAAAGAATGAGACCCTTGCCTCTGACCTTGGCCACAGGCTGCATAGCCCAGAACCCCAGTGGATGAGGGCCAGGTGCCTCCCCTCCCCACCTGCCCCCTGCACCTGGCCTGGCTCCCTGCTGGTTTCTGACATCACCTTGAGCTCCTGTTCCTATCAGCCACAGGATTTGCTTTCTCTAAGAACACTGACCACGGGCCCTGCACTGTCCTGGAATGGAGTTTATAGGCTATGTAAACTCAGAAACAGACGTTAGAAAAAATTCAGTAAACAAGGCATGGTGGCACACACCCGGAATCCCAGCACTCGGGAGGCTGAGGCAGGAGGGTTCCAAATTGAAGCCCAGCGTGGGCAATGAAAGACAAGCAGGGATTCAAAAGCATGCTCTACTAGTTATAGTGAAATAAAGAAACAGACTTCAATGTGTAACATATTTCTAAGCATTTATTAGGTCTCAGATCTGAAAACACACGGCCTCTATTTCCAGAGCAAGACACCGCCTTCCCGGTTGCTGTAGCCTCCAGCCAATGGTATGGAGAAAGGAGGTGTTCTTCCAAGACCGCCCCCCCAACCCTCTGCTTTGCCCTGAGACCTGGTTTAAATTAAGAATTTATCTTTCCTAAATTTCTCAAATGATTAAGGCCCTAGGGGGAACATCAACTACTTGAAAAGGACAGGAAGCATTTGCCAACTGCAGTCACTTCTATTCAACTGTTATTTTTATTAGTCCATAATGATTACATTCACAGTGGGGGGCGGGTACACTTTCATAACACAGTTTAATTCTTTTTCATCCTCTTCCCCTCCCTTCCACCTCCCCCGATCTCTTGGCCCCCTTTCCTTTTGCAAAAGATCTCTCTTCAGTCCAGGCGGGGTGGATCTGGGTGCACGCTGGATCATCCCAGCACTCAGCAGGCCGAGGCAGGGGGATCGCGGTGAGTTCGAGGCCAGCCTGGGGTACATAGTAAGACCCTCACTTTAAACAAATCCAACAGAAGAGAACTAAACAAAACAGATCTCCCTATTTTATGGCGAGCCATCATGGTGAGCCTTGACACAGGCCTAGCCATGATTGAACTTTGAGTCACCTCGCTGGCACGGATGTGCTCTCGCCCATGGCCACGGGCGAGTTCAGCTGGTGGCAGATGTAACCCATAAAGGTTGTTATTGTTTCCCTCTGGAATGTGTGGGCGGTACCCTCGCTCCCGTGCAGCCCTCGCTCCCGTGCAGCTGGAGAGTATAAAAGGAAGAGGTTCTGTAACGCGAGCGAGCAAGCAAGGTGAGAAGTAAAGGTGCCTCTCGTCTCTCTGTCCTCGTCCTTTCAGGTTTAGGACCTGCTGGCAGGATCCTGACGTCGCGGCTCGCAACACAATTTTCCTATCGTTTAGCTTGTATTTGGCGCTCTCTATATTCCGGGTTTCTCGTATAAGAGAAAACATGGCGTTTTCGTGTGTCTCGACACGGGATGGTCTCCAGCTTCATCCATTTCCCTGCAGTCACCAGTTCATCCTTCCCGCCTTCTCGCCTGGGTTCCGGGGTTCCGCTCGGGGCTGCTCCCGACCGGCTGTGACGGTGAGTGCCCCCCCCGTGCCTCAGTTTCCTCTCCCGAGGATGGGAGCAGAATCACCTCCACAGAGGGTTAGCGGAGTCAAGGGTGCGGTGGAAATAAAAGTTGAAAAAAAGCCCCCCGCCTCAGGTTTTTTGAGACAAGAGCTCCCTATGGAGCCCAGGCTGGCCTCGAACTCGCGGCGACCCTCTTGTCTCAGCCTCCCGAGTGCGGGGATTACAGGCGCGCACCACTTCGCCCGGCTGCCCCTCCTTTTGTTGCTGCTTTTTCGTTTTTCTTTTCCTATTTTGTACTTGTTTGCCTTTTGTCTTCGTCAGTCCTTTATCGCTTTCTGCTCAAACGCAGGCGCCCCACTTATCCGCAGGTCGGGGCTGGGCCGGGCGCGTCAGCGGCGGAAGGGACAGGCACGGACGCAGGGACCCCAGGCGGCCACTTGGCGGGGCACCTGC